AGTTACTTGTTGCCTTGTATCCACTTGTTACGTACCTACTCGAGAGCGCTTATTGTTTAGAAATCACATTATCACTACCGGCACTGGGTTATTATGTATGTACTCAACAAGTGCCCTTATCATTGAGTACTCAAGTTCATGCAATTCCAATTTCCTGTGTCTTACTTAGTTCTAGTATCTTGTGTACATAGAGAAACCTAGGATTTTAGCTTTGGAAAAAAATTTACCAAATAATGGCTTTCAGACCTCAAATAATCTGAATGAGTTCCCCTATTTCTTTCAGACATGCCTAATTTTTCATTTAGTCATCTTAAAGTGTGGCTAATAATATTGCCTGTGATTCCCTAGCACCAGTTATGTCAGGCAAGAAGCCTCGTCTTTCCCATAGTTCAATAGGATCCACATTGCCATTTTCATTCCTGATTATCCAAACTGTATTCGTGCTTTCCAACTGGATTCCCATCTTGTTACCCATCATCTTTCCTAGACCTTGCTGTTCCCGACTGACCTCGCCCTCTTCCATCACAGTTTTTAGTTACTTTGGTTACTCTGCACACTATCGCAGCTCAACTACTAAATCTCCTTCCCTTACCAAGCTCTCAAAAGGTAAGGACTACAACACTCACTGTCCTAGGAATTCCTTCAGTGTCTAGCACTACTGAATGTAGATTCATATGCAACATCACCAATACTTGTTTTTCTATCAGGATAATCTTCTTTAAGTAGTCTATGGCAATAACACTTTCCTTCCTTCCTGAGGCAGATGAGGTAGTGGTGGTGATGGAGACTGAACCCAAGGTTTTGCACATGATAGGCAAGTGCTCTACCACTGAGCTATAGTTCAATCTAAATTCATAGCACTGAAGAACATTCCCTCTTCCATAGGCTCACTCTTAGAACTCAGAGTAACCTTCCTTGAAACACTGCCACCACAAAGCTGGTAAGTTGGCTTATGAAAAAAATGGGGGGCAGGGTATATCTGTATTGTGAAAGTCAACATACTATGTAAACTGAAACCTGGTAGAGCACTCTGACACAAACTCATGAATGTGTGAAGCAATCTATAAGAAACTTTCATATACAGTATTACATGTTGCTTTTATGGAATTAATATTTTGGCCATCAGTATCAGATTTAGCAGAAAAATCACATTATTTAAACTTAAAATTTTTCTTTTAACAATTATAAATAGAGAAAAACAACTGCTTATGCTTAAAGAAATCAGGTTACCTAGCCAGAATCAGGAAATCCTCTTTTTTTTTTTTTTTTTTTTGGGTTTTTCGAGACAGGGTTTCTCTGTGGTTTTGGAGCCTGTCCTGGAACTAGCCCTTGTAGACCAGGCTGGTCTCGAACTCAAAGAGATCCGCCTGCCTCTGCCTCCCAAGTGCTGGGATTAAAGGCATGCACCACCACCGCCCAGCTGAAATCATCTTGTATTGAGAAGAAAGTTAAACAAACCACTGCAAATTCAAGTTAATACACATTCTTTCCTCTGTGTCATTTCTTAAACTGATGTAATGTCAAAGACCCTCAAAGTAATGGTTTTAGATTCTTTCAGTTCAGCACATACTAGGAAATAAAGCTTTATAATTACATAGTAAGTTACTTTGTCTTAACAATGAGAACAGGATTAAATAAGTACTTTTATCAAATAACATCTTAGCTTTCAGTGTACTCAAAAACAGACCAGACTACAGAAAATCAGCTGGGCATGTAGTTCAGTGGTCAATGGCTTGTCTAGCATGGGCAAAGCTCTAGGCTCCATCCACAAGGCAACAAAATTTTTGAAAAATTGATGAGAGAAGCAAATAGGAACTGATGATTAAGTGAAGATATAAGAAACTACTTTAATATGTCTACAATATGTAGAAAGTTATGAACTCTGGTTCTTACCCGAGGGACATTACTATTGGCCCCAGAACAATTTTGCCAGATAAGAAAGAATACCACCCATTATTTGGGCATGCACTCAGAAAGAGGTACCATTTTTTCACACACTGCAGTAAGCCTGAACTAAGGAGCCTTAGAATATTCCCAAAGCAGGTCAGACTCGGGGGAATGCCCAAAGGCACCATGAACTCTCAGGGCATACTACTCACTGATCTTCTGTTCCAAAAAACTTCACAAAGAAGCATTTCTTTCCACGTGGTTTCTTCAAGTCCTTGGGTGGATTAACAATCTGAAGGATAAAAGGGAAAAAAGGTATGAGAACCCAGCAGTCTACTAGAAAAGTGATCTGAAAAACAAAATAAAACAAAAAACCACAAAGATTTTTAAAAAGAACTATGTTCCAAAAGAAACCAAGGCTTTTATTTGTCCTGTATCTGGCAGTCTTCTATGGTGATATGAAGAAATGTGCAAATGTCCCCTAAGATTCCCCATAGCTAACACATAGTGTACTGCTTAGAAGATAGTTTTTATGCAATGGCTCCTGGTATACAAACAGTTAAAACTAACAGCAATATCACCTCCACCCCCAGGTAATATGTGATCAATGAAGAAACAGAAAACATTCTTCAAAATACTTTTGGTGCAAGAAGAGTTAAGACAGGAAATGGTGAAAATAAAGGACCTACTGAGTCACAGGAAACACCATATTGGAAAGAGTCTACAGACATTTCCTGGATTCCTAGCAAGACTGAAAACTCAGAACATTTGGAAAGCTATGATGGAGCACCTCTCGAAAAATCTGGAATGTCAGCTTCTGCAGATATGCACTGGAGCAGCACATATGGTAGCAAGGAAAGAAGATTTAAACTTAGTTGGGACAAAAATACTTTGGCTTTTCACTAACCTACATTTAGAATTTCCTCTTCCTGCAGAATCTGTTTCTTCTTAGATTTAAACATAATGTTACATTCTGATTACAACTGATTTCCAAGATAAAAAAACAACAACGAATTTCACACCCATCTCTGAAGACAGACACGATGACTGTACATTAAACACTCTGGCTTATGACATACCTTTCAAACTGACTGATAACTAGAGGTAAATACCAAGTGTTATCTGAATGAGCCCATTTGAAGCCAGTGTTAGAGACTGAAGAAACTCAGATTTCTCCCACACCCTTAACTTCAGAGGGCTTCTTTTAATAGTAGCAACACACTTACCTTTCCCGGCCAGGGAGGATACCGGCCCAGTTTCCCCCTAGAGAAAATAATACAGAGTCAGAACTTGCCCTGGAAAAGCCAGTCCAGCTCCTTCAGCCCACTCAACACGCAATTTATGCTCTTGTAACTCTAGGCTGGCACTTTCAAAGGCCAGAACAAAAGCAGGCAAACTGGAGTCCTTAACGGGCCTTGCCCAGCTGGGCTCAGGACCCTCACACAAGAATACAGAACTGTGTGTGCGTGTGCGTGTGCCTGTGGTCCATGCAGTCTTCCACTAAGAAAGAATAAAGAATAACAAAACCATTAAGAGTCACTGGTCTGGGCCCTCCCAGTGACAGGGTTGGAAACAGTTCTTTCTTAAAGAGACTTTCCCTAAGTCTGATTTAATTCACCACAAGATCAGCCTGCCTTTGACAAATGATCATGGAAACCTTCCTCTAGGTCGGGAAACTACGCAGCTCCAAGGAGACAATGGTCAGTCTTGATTCTGGCTGTTGCGCGGGGACACAAGGAACAGAACGAGAGGCACTGGTCACCGCCTAGCCATCATTTGCAAAGGAGAAGTCCCCCCCCCCCCCTCGGCCGGGCAGTCGGATTTCGCCACCTGGAACCGAGCCTCCAGCCCATGTCTGTCCCATCGGAACGCGGGTTCGGATGTCTCTGTCCCCCGCGAGGCAGCCTCTCCTGCCTTGAGAGGAGCACCGGAGAGACCCCGGGACTAGGGAACCTGCGCGACAACGGAACTCTCTGCAGTGGCAGCCAGCGTCCGGGTTCCAGAGCCGTAGCCCTCCCCTGGGATGGCCTCGGGGTTGAGAGACCGGACCGCCGTGGCCACCCTCGGCCTCGGTCCCCCGGGGACCGGACAGCCCCTTCCGCCCAAGCGTCGTTCGCAGCGCGGCGGCACCTCGTCTTCCCCACTCTCCGCTGCCAGAAGCGCATAATAAAGCAATTCCTGGGCCAGGCGCCAACCCTGCAACCAGGAAAAACAGCTTAGCGCCGTCTTTCCTTCAGCCCTGGCAGCCGGGACTCACCACACCAAGTCGCCGAGCCGCAGACTCACAGCCGCCATCTTACCACCCAACCACCGCCGCCGCACGGGCAGCCGGGAATTTCAGGTCGCCGCGGCACCGCCCATTGGAGTGGGCCTGACCACGTGACGGGGGCCTGCTGTCATCCGCCAAGCGGATGCGCTGACGTCACCGCGCCGCTGGCGCTCATTGGGCGGCTTGGAGGCACGTGACTTAAGCGCCGCGCTCTCAGCGCGTCGAAGCCCGGAGAGTCCGGGCTCCTGCCCCCTCCTCCCTCCGGCTCGTGACAACGAAGCGTCCACGGTCCAAAGCAGCGGCGGCAGAGGCTGCGCGGCCGGACTAGCGCGAAAGGAAGCCGACAGAGCTGCCCACCTCGCTTCCGGGGCTCTGGACTCATCTCAAGTCTTTTTCGCCGCTTCCGTTACGGCCGTTAGTCGGGCGCGGGCCCCGGGCCGTTCCTGAGCCTGAGGTGCCGGGCGGACGGGGCTTGGAGCTCGGGTGCTGCCCTGTCTGACCCCGGCGCGGCCTGGAAGCCCGTCTCGGTCCAAGCTGGGAGCCCGAGAGGCCCTGGTTCCCCGCGAGCCCGCGCTCGGGGCGGGAGCTCCAGCCTGCTGAGGAGCGCCCCGATCGACGGTCGGTTTCCGGAGCGCCGTCCGCGCCAAGCGTCCTCGGCGTCGCCCGACTTGTTTTCTTGGACGTCGACTTGGTATTTCTCGGCTCCCCCCCTCACCCCTCCTCCGGCTGGCGAGAGAAAGCGGCGGTTTGTAGAGAGACTCCCTTCGCACGGGCTGGGGACCCGGCCATGGGCCGCGGCGCGGGCCCTCCGCGCGCCCGCACGCAGCGCTCGGAAGCGGGCCGCTGAGCGCGCCGCAGCCCGGGGGTCCCGGGCCGGCATGAGGACCGCCACGGGGGGACGTCTGCGGCCCGCGTCGGCTCTGGGGACAACCGTGTGTGCCGCGGTCCGGTCCAGCCTCCCGCGTTAGCCTTCGTAAGTAGTGTGACACTTTGCAAGAAGTTGTGACAGCTGGAAGACAGATGACAGCGAACTGGGAACAGTTAGCTGCCGAGGGGCAGGGCGGCTGCCCCTAACTTCCGCAGACAGGGTTGAAGCCTGACTTTTGAGTAAGAGAGTTTCACTCTCAGAGCGGGCGGCTGGGAATCCGTGAACTTAACTCTAGGGTGGACTTAACTTTTTTGAGTCAGTGCTAGCTCGGAAGGTGTCGAGTTCATGCCCGCCTATCTCCCTAAGGCAGTGGCCCCCATGTAGAGGCTTTGATTGTAAATTGCTCTGGGGATTTTTACAGTAGGATGGAGAAGCTGGGTGGGTGCCTTAGGTTGACCCCAGCCTGTTTTTCTTTGGAAACAAATTGCCCAGGAGTACCACCGATTAGTTGTAGGGACTGTCATTTACACCGTTATTTTAAACACAAGCTGACCATTTTAAGTGTATTTAATGTTTCATAAAATCACCTAATAAAGCCGGGCAGTGGTGGCACAGGCCTTTAATCCCAGCACTCGGTAGGCAGAGGCAGGCAGATCTTTGTGAGTTCGAGGCCAGCCTGGTCTACAAGAGCTAGTTCCAGGTCAGGCTCCAAAGCTAATTCTAGCTAATGAAATAAGGCAGGAAACAAAAGTAAATGTCAAAGAAAAGTTGTCATTTCTGTAGATAATAAAACTGCATTTTGCAAGAAAAAGAGGAAAGCCTTTAAGGAAAAAATGATTAAATTAGCATACAAGTTTGTCTCTTTCATCAATAGTCTGTTTAAAAAGTAAAATGGTTAAGAAGAATATGAGAACAAAAACATAAACAACCCCTAGGAATATCTAGAGATGTAAAGGAATCCAGTGACTTTTGCATGCTCTGAGTTTTTCTTCTTCTTCTTCTTCTTCTTCTTCTTCTTCTTCTTCTTCTTCTTCTTCTTCTTCTTCTTCTTCTTCTTCTTCTTCTTCCTCTTCCTCCTCCTCCTCCTCCTCCTCCTCCTCCTCCTCCTCCTCCTCCTCCTCTTCTTCCTCCTCCTCTTCTTCCTCTTCTTCTTCGTTTTCAAGACATGGTTTCTCAGTGTAGCCCTGGCTGTCCTGGAACTCTTTCTGTAGACCAGGAGGGCCTCTAACTAAGAGATCTGCCTGCATCTGCTGGGATTAAAGGCATGTGCTACCACCTCCCTAGGCACAATCTTGTTTTTTTTTTTGTTTTTTTTTTTTTTTGCCCCCTTTGTGTGGCATTCTAATATTCAAATCATTCAGAGTATTTAAGAGCCTAATTTCACAGCCTGAGCTACATGGAGAAACCCTGTCTCAAAACAAAACCAAAACCAAAAAAATACCCCGGAAACTTCTAATCTCTAGGTGTGTTTTTGTTTACTTTCTTCTTTGCCATTTTATTTGGAGACAGAGTTTCACATAATCCAAGGGGGCCTTCAACTCCTTCGTTAGCTTTTGATCCTCCTGCTTCCACCTCCACTATGCCGAGATTACAAGTGTCTATTGCTGTGGGAATTGAACCCAGGGCCTCCAGCATACTAGGAAAGCACTCTGCTGAGCTCTATCTCCAGCCCAATCTTAGCTGTTTTTAAGACTTATAAAATTTCATTAATGTTTTGTTTACAAATTTTAAGAACTTATATGTCAAAAAAAATTACTTGAGGGTCTGCAAGATGGCTCAGCAGATAAGGGTGCCTGCCTCCAAGCCTGAAGACCTACATTCAGTCCCTGGAACCCACACGATAAAACGAAAGAATCAACTTCTGTAAGTTTTCATACATGTGCACACATGCATACATCATGTGAAAGTAAGACTTGGACACCAGATTAAACTTTCTTAAGCAGTTAACTCTTTGTAAACCAGATTAATTAAATTCTCTTAAGTGATTTAAACTACACTAAGAAAAAAACTAATTTTTTTTAATTCTCTCAGATACTCATATTTCTTTTTTTCTTTCTTTCTTTTTGGGGGGAGGGCATCAAGACAGGGTTTCTCTGTGTAGCCCTGGCTGGTCCTGGAACTTGATCTGTAAACCAAGCTGCCCTCAAACTCGCGGAGATCCACCTGCCCTTCCCTTCCAAGTGCTGGGATTAAAGTTAAAGGTGTGCGCCACCACTGCCTGGCTACTTCATATTTCTAAAGAGGTAAACTTGTAAGCCTTATAGTAAACTTTTTCCAAGATCATAACTCATAAATTTGATTGTATAAATGATTCAGAATCTTATAAACTTGAGAAGTTAATTGCATTTTCTTGAGCATTTGGAATTAAATGCATAAAATTTAACATGACCTTTAATATACCTGATTGTCTTAAATGTTTTTAATGGTTTAGCCCCAGAACAAAATAGCATGTTGTGATGATTATAAAACTTAATCAAAATCGGACTTGTGAGAGTTAATAGGTGATTTACCTCTTCCTCTAGTCCTGTCTCCCTGCTAAGACTTGTACAAATTAGCCTACAGGAATATTATTACTGACTATGTGCATTTGAGTTGTGCCCTCTAAAAACCTGTACTGAGATGAGGCTACATTTTAAAAATTTTGGCTAGAGGAAAGACTAGGATCTGGTTGCCAGTTTCTTCATCCAATTGAGTAACTTGCTGATCCATTTCTTACAGTTAAGATTGCGCTTCCTCTCAGTGGGGAGCCTACTAGCCTTTAACTTTCAGTTCTGGTTTGTTTTCACAGCCAGGTGAATTTTCTGCAATGTCCTGAGGCCCTTGGAAGTTTCCTTTTTTGGGGGTGGGGGGGAGTTTCTTTTTTTTCCAGTATCCTAGTGCATGTTGGTAAACGTTTTGCACAGGCCAGTCTATTTTACTGGTTATGTCTTTGCTGCCTGATTAGAATGACTTTTTAACTCATTTGTATAGTTTTTACTCCCTTATCTGATCTTATATCACCTTTTTATGATAATGAAATGAATATCCAATATAGTCTACTATATCTACATATATGATATATATGATACATATATGATATAGTCTACTATATCTACATATATGATAGATCATTCTTTTTATTTTTTATTTTTTTTATTTATTTATAATAGATCACTCTGAATTCATATTTGTGATTCATTTTGCAAAATACATTTTGGAGGGAACTTGCACAAATGATTCTAAAATTGATCTGAAATAGGTTAAAAGCCAGTTATCATTATTTTTCAAATATTTTTTGTGCATTAGTGTTTGCCTGCTTGTATGAATGTGTGAAGGTGTCAGATCTTGGAGTTACAAACAATTGTGAGCTCTCATGTGGTGCTGGGAATTGAACCCTGGTCCATTGGAAGAATAGCCAGTACTCTTAACCGCTGAGCCATCTCTCCAGCCCCCCAGTTAGTTACTATTTTAAAAAGAAAATAAAGATGAACTTTAATTTCATATACTAAAAGTATAAGAGTTTTCAAGACAAAGCTGTATTGGTTAAAGAATGTCTCAAGTACTTGATTAATGTAACATGGCTTTTAGCATGAACCCTAAGTATATAAGGTTTGCTTGGGTCTGTGAGAAATCATCAGGAAAAGGAAGATTACTCAGTGATTGGTACTGGGGAAAAAATTAGTTAGAGTCTATTCTCAGACTTTAGAGGACATTAAGTTCAACTTAGTTTAGAAGTTAGTATCTATAAAAGACTGAGGGGGTGATTTCTTCCTTATGGTCTGTTTGTAAAGAGCTTTCTATGTACATAGGAAATGAGAAGGGTCACATGCAAAAAAAAAGTTTCGACTGCATTAATACACAGGTTTAACCTGAATTATGTGATGCGGGATGATTTATAAAAAAGGAAAAAATTTATATTTACCACTTTTTGCTTAAATGAGTTAACACAATTATAATTTATCAATGGATTCTTCTTGACAAGGAATTTTTTTTTAACTCTGTGTAACTGACAACTGTTTTGTTATTTTGATAATGTCTTCCTTTGTTATTTTGGTTTGACCTGGCCCTTCTTTTCAATGTTAACAGAAATCATGCAGTGACACCTGCTAAGACTTGTTGGTAGCCATGTCGGAGCCCCACAGGGTCCAGTTCACCTCTCTCCCAGGTTCTTTGAATCCTGCATTTTTGAAGAAGTCCAGGAAAGAGGAGGTTGGAGGAACAGAACAGCATCAAGACTGTGAGCCAGCTGCAGCTGCTGTTCGGATTACACTCACCCTCTTTGAACCAGATCACAAACGCTGCCCAGAGTTCTTCTACCCAGAGCTGGTGAAGAACAGCCGAGGGAAGGTGAAAGGCCTTCATCCTGGAGACAAGGTACATTCCAGTAGACCCAGAGTTGCTGCAGACCTAACATGAAGATGCCAATATGTTCACATGGGCCTTTATTTCAGGGAAATGAGGCTAGAGAGTCCTGGACTCTTCCAAGATCACCACTCATCTAGAGCAGGCACTGGGTAGAAAAAGAATTTTTTAAGAATCTTTTTCCTGATTTATGCTAGAGAAAACCGTATGGCACATCCAAGGCCAGTTTGAGTTATGACTGGATATATAAATAAAAGAAGCAACACATTGTTTATGTTAACTTTTTTTTCTTTTCTTTTTTTTGGGGGGGAGGGGGGTTTGAGACAGGGTTTCTCTGTAGCCTTGGCTGTTCCAGAACTTAATCTGTAGACCAGGCTGACCTCAAACTCACAGAGATCTGCCTGCCTCTTGCCTCCGCATCCCAAAGGTTGGAATTAAAGGCATGTACCACCGCTGCTTGGTAACATTTTTATGTGGCATAGGTGAGATCATTCTTTTGATGGTTGCAGTGGTGCATACTTTGACCTCTCTGTGGTAGAAAGATGGATAGGAAGAGGCCCACACTGCTCATCTCTTTTGACCAGGAGTGTCTTGAGTAGTTTCTTTTCTGGATGTGTAGAAGTCTGCTTCTGCTTTTTTTTTTTTTTGGTTTCTCAAGACAGGGTTTCTCTGTGTAGCTTTGAAGCCTGTTTTGGAACTTCCTTTAGACCAGGCTGGCCTTGAACTCACAGTTCTGCCGGCCTCTGCCTCCTGAGTGCTGGGAAAGATATGCACCCTCATTACCCAGCTCATTAACATTTTTAAAAAGTGTGTGTGTTTTTATGTAGTTTCGAAACAGTGTCTTTGCTTTATAGTTGTGAAAAACAGAGAGATTAAAAGCAACTTGGGGAGGAGGAAAGATTATTTTAGTTTACAGCTTACACTATAGTCCTTCATGAAGGGAAGTTAAGGCAAGAACAGAAGCAGGAATTATGGGAGAATACTTCTTATTGGCTTGCTTCTTTTGTCTTGCTTATACAACCTAGGGCCACTTGCCAAAGAATGTCACCACCTAGAGTAGGTCATGCCCACATCATCCATTAATCAAGAAAATACCCCCACAGACTTGCCTATAGTTCAATCTGATGGACACATTTTCTCTGTTGAAGTCTTTTCCAAGAATATTCTAGCTGTGTCAATATGACCCCCCCCCCCAAAAAAAAAGGCCAAGAAGTACATAGTCCTACTCTATAGCTTGGAATGACCTTGAATTTAAGGTCCTCCTGTGGTGGGATTACATACTTATGTCACTATAACCAACTACAAAATCAAAATATAATTTTTAGTTGAGTTATACATACATGATAAAGTTTGTGGATTTTCACAAACTCAGCACAGCTATGCAACCTGTACATGACATGATTCACAAAATAGGAGTTTTATCAGGATACTAGAAACATTTCTTCTTGCCTCAAAGGACACTGTCTCCCCATAGGCAACTGCTGTCAAGACCAGTTTTGCATATCTTTGTGTTTTATGTATATAGTCATATATCATAAGTAGGAGGTAGATGAAGAACATTTTAAGCATATACTAGTGTACTGTGTTAGACTAGGAGAAGAAGGTAAGATCATACTCAATGGAAGTTGGTCTCTAGAATAGCCTTTACTACTAGAACAAGGATGACGGAAGGTAGCACCTGGCTCACAGTGTCTGAGAGTGGAGTAAGGTCATGTTGATAAAGTCTCTAGCATAGTATCCCAGTGTCAAGTACTCACTTAGCCTGACTCATTTTAGGAATGTTTGGAGGAAACATGTCTAGTTAGAAGCATTCCTCACTTTTCTTAAATAAAAATGTATAGGGTTATGTTTTTTGTTTGAGGCAGGGTCTAGTGTATCCCAAGCCAGCTTCTTAATTTATCATATAACAAGATGCTCTTGAATTCTTGAACCTTCTTCCTTCACCTTCCAGGTGCTGAGATTAAGCTATATGCCACCATACTTGACCAAAAAATATGTTTTAGTTATTCTTTTTAAAGCTATGAGTATTTTCCCTATGCCTATATATGTGTACTGCATGTGTACCTGGTACCTGTAGAAACTAGAAGAAGGTGTCAGAACCCCTGGAACTGAAGTTACAGATAATGGTGAGCCATCATGTGGGTGCTGGGAATTGAACCCAGGTCCTCTACAAGAGTAGACAGCACTGTCAACCACTAAGCCATTTCTCCAGCTCCATTATTTGCTCTTATGTATATGAGTGTTTGCTCTACATGTGTGTGTTGCATATTGAAGCTAGAGGAGGGGGTTGGATCCTCTGGACAGTTCCAGTTCCAGTGGGTTGTGAGCTACTATGTGGGTGCTGGGAAGGGGACCACAGGTCCACTGCAAATAGTCTTAGCTACTTAGCCATCTCTCCAGCCCAAACTGTTTGCTGTCTTGATTGGTATCTTACTGATAGAATAAAGTCAATGTGTCTATACCAAAGGTCATCTGATAGGACCATCATGCTGTATAAGGGCCAGTAAACAGGATGAGAAAAATAATTTAAAATCTGTTCAGAGTTTCTTTTTCAATGTAAGGTTAATGTCCCCTTCCTTAGGAGACGTTAGTAGGAGTAGGTTAACATATTTATCTATGGGCTCAAACCAAATGGGTAGAACAACTGAAGTTAGAACTCCAGTGCTCTTGCTTACCTTTTTTTGTTTTGTTTTGCTTTTTGTTTTGGCAGCTGGGGTAGAGAAGCTCCGTATTTTCAATATTGCAGAAAAATACATGGAAATACACAGAGAAATTTGGTTATTATCCAAAGTTTCAAGGGAATCACTCCTGTACTTCAGTTTTACAACTCCTGAATCAGGATCCTGAGTGTGGATCTGTCTTGTTAAGAGTATAGTGTGCATGAGGTCCTCGACACCATTATCACTCTTAGCATAATCTGATACATTCGTGTGTTGGCTCAGTTAGCACATATTCTTCACAATGTGAAGTGCTGCTGCATGGTGAGGACCATATAAAAGTGGGAAGGACAATCCCTGCTTAACAGGAATTTACAGTCTCATAGGTATTTTAAGAAAATCCTAGGAGAACAGGTAACAGAAGTTAAAATATGATGAGTTGTAAGCTCCAGAGGGCTTTGGGTGAGCTTAATAATGGTCAGGATGCTGTGTTTGGACAGAGGTAAGCCTTTGGTCCAGAAATAGTAATTGAATGGTGTGTTGGCTTGGCTTTGGAGTATTCATGTTGAATTGAGTAGTACTCAAAAATGGGATTTCTAATGTTATTTTAGCCACTTAAGTTGTATGTGATCATTGTAGAAATATTAGAAGATACAAATAAGCACCTGTTTTAAAAACAGCCTATGTAGGTTTGAAGAGATGGCTCAGTGGTTAAGAGCACTGACTGCTTTTCTATATAGGACCTGGGTTCTGTTTCTATTAACCACATGGTGTCTCACAACCACTTGTAACTCTAGTTCTGGGGGATCTGATGTCCTCTTCTGACCTCTTTAGACACCAGGCATGCACATACTATACAAAATATACATTCAAACAAAGCACTTATACATATAAAGTAAAGGTAAAAAATTAAAAAAAAATCATTTATTACTATTTAAATGTTTATATTTTGTATGTACAACAATATTCCAGTATATAGGTACACTGTAAATCACATAACTGATCTTTTGGGTAGGTGGGTTTTAGTAGACTGAAAGGTGTGGAATAAAGGAATTATTTTTTTCTTTTTTGTTTGTATGAGGTTGGAAATTGAGCCTTACTATGTAGTAAGCTGGCCTAAAACTATTCTTTTGCTTCTCTTTTCCAAGTACTGAGATTACAGGCACGTAGCTCCATGCCTGGCCTAGAGTAGAGACTTGTTTTGAAGCAAACATTAATTTTTCAGTCTTTTATTTATACTCTTAAGTTTTAGCCTATTAATCTTTTTTTTAATATTTATTTATTATGTATACAATATTCTGTCTGTGTGTATGCCTGAAGGCCAGAAGAGGGCACCAGACCTCTTTACAGATGGTTGTGAGCCACCATGCGGTTGCTGGGAATTGAACTCAGGACCTCTGGAAGAGCAGGCAATGCTCTTAACCACTGAGCCATCTCTCCAGCCCTCCCATTAATCTCTATTAATATTAAAATTCCTTGTTCAAGAGCATATATCTGCTATGAAAAATTTACTTGATTAAAAAAATGCATGAGTAAGCTTATGGAATAAAAAATAAACTTTAGAAGACAAGATGAAAATATTTGGGATGATTATCGAGGTTGGCAAACAAGAGGGTTATGACAGTGGGCCCTTGAAGGTATGTTTCTAAGGGTAGCAATTCCTTGAATCAGTGTTTTACTTAAGAAGTACTGTTTAGACCACTTTTTGAGTTTCTTTAAATTTTCGTTTGATGATGATTAATTATTTTATTGTTTTGGTTCTTCTTTCCTTTTCTTCAATGTGTTGTGCTTACTAGGTAAAGACTATCAGTGGACTAACTTCTCAAACCTAATACACTTTTCTAAAGACAGAATGCTTGTCAAGAATTTGTATTATATTCCATGGATTTTTAACCTTTTTTATATCCTTTTCTTAATATGAAAATGTTTCATGAATTTGTGTGTCATTACAACAGGAGCCATCTTCGGTGTGTTGTTCCAATTTTAGTATATATACTGCCAAAGAAAGCACTTTTTAAACTTTTTTTTTTTTAAACTGTTTCTGGGTATGGTGGGGCACACCTTTAATCTCAGCACCTGGGAGGCAGAGGCAAGCAGATCTCTGAGTTCTAGGCCAATCTGGTCTACAGAGTAAGATTCAGGGCTATAACAGAGAAACCCTGTCTCAAAAAACAAAAGGAAAAGGGGGGAAAAAAAGACACTAAAAGCTTTTTATCTATTTATTTAATGTGTGTGGATGTTTTGTCTGTATGTGTGTCTGTGCTATCACAGGCCAGAAGAGGGTCTTAGATCCCCTGAGACTGGAGTCAGACATGACTGTGAGCAGCCATGTGGATGCTGGGAGTTGAATCAAAGTCATTTAAAGAGAAGTCAGTCCTCTTAATCCCTGAGCTATCTCCTAAGACATCATTTTTAACCTTTTTGAACCTTGACTGTTAAAGACATTTTATGAAGCCTATTGATCTCAAAATGTTTTCAAGTACCTAAAATAAATTGTTGCAGAAAGAATCAACTTTATTGAGCCCAGTTTTGTAGACATTGAACATCTCTGGTAAAGGCCCTTTGCTCTGTTTGAAGCCTCATTGTTAGGCCATTGTAGATATTAAGTTTTGTTGAAATTACATATTCTCTCTTCCTTTCTCTTTAATGTATGGTTCTTGGATTGAGCCTAAGGCCTTGATCATGCAAGGGCAATAACACTAAACTAGGCCCTTAGCCCTTTTTTCTTCTGGTTTAAGACAAGCTCTCAATGCATTGTTTAGGTTATCCTTAACCTCACTCTATATTCAGGCTGGCTTTGAAATTGAGGTCCTTGTGTGTTACAAGGAGAGGCCTGCTGTTTGTCCCAGCCACCTGGCTAGCTTACACCTGAAATAACTACACAGAAATTGTATTAATTAAATCACTGCTTGGCCCATTATCTCTAGCCTCTTATTGGCTAACTTTCGTATCTTAATTTAACCCATTTTTATTGATCTGTATATTGCCACATTCCAGTGGCTTACCAGGAAAGATTCAGCATGTCTGACTCTGGCCACTCCATGGTGTCTCTCTCCTACTCTGCTTTCTTCCTCCCAGAATTGAGTTCTGTCTTCTCTACTGACCTAAGTTCTGCCCTATCAGCTAGGCCAAGGCAGTTTCTTTATTCATTAACCAATGAAAACAACACACAAACAGAAGTACCTCCTACATCACTTGTGCCTCAGCCTTTCTAGGAACTAAGATGACGACAATGAACTGATACACTTACTGCAATTTTGTTTTTTAAACAAAACATGATGTGATGGCAGCATGTATTCTATTTTGCTATTTCTAAATAATAACTTTTTTTTATTACAGTCTTGGTTCTTTAACCAGGACTATGGCTTTGTATGTGTGTGTGATTTATTTTTTGTGGAACGATCTCTTTCCAGAAAAAAGATGTCTTGGATCCTTTCAACGATGAAGAAAAAGAAAGGCATAAGGTGGAGGCCCTTGCACGGAAATTTGAAGAAAAATATGTAAGATTTCTGTGTTGGGCAAGACAACAACTTCATTAGTGAGAGTAGTCTCCAGGCTCATTTAGTGGATTATCATGTAGTCAGAAGTGATCTGGAAATAGATGTAGGACTCAGAGGAAAGAGATTATAGCTATTAACCAAATGCATTAAGGTTCAGAACTCTCATGTGGCAGGAGAAATGTGTGAGTTAAATGGGCAAATAAGGCCTTAGAGAATGTGTTTGTTACAGAGCAAGAGAATCCATTTATTTCATTCTTCTGTCTTAGGCCACTTATGCAGATATAAATCTTCCCTGTTTCCAAAGGTCTTTAGAGATGGGGTTTGGGGTGTGTGTGAGGTGAGAGAGGGAGAGAGAGACAGAGACACGAAGACAGACAGGAGATATAGGTTAAGGGTAGTATATGTTTTCAGTGCTTTTCAACCTTTAATCACTAGCTGTTGAGAGTCAAGGCAACATTTATTGTACTTACCAAAAGCATGTGACCCCTTGCTTTTAAATTTCAGGGTGGAAAGAAACGTAGGAAAGACCGAATACAGGATTTGATTGATATGGGGTATGGCTATGATGAATCCGATTCTTTCATCGATAACTCTGAGGCGGTAAGTAGTTACTGAATGTGTGGTACTGACAGTGGGGCAGGGTTGTGACATGTCAGTTTGTCCTCTTAGTACAAAGAGTCCTGAACTTAAGAGGAAGGGACTTCCTGGACCCAGGCTTTGTTTTTTTTCATGTGAAAATTACAATCTTTTCTTTCTAAAATATCCAGTAGCTTGCACATTAGTGATTGAGGAGAGGATGTCTTAGCATGGTGTTTGACGAGTGACAGAAAATTCTAGTTGCAAGGTACAAGATGTGCTTTGTACCTTGTACTATAGAACCAGAAATGGGAGCTGATGGTATGTTTCTTTCCCTTAGTATGATGAACTTGTTCCTGCTTCTTTGACAACAAAGTATGGAGGATTTTACATTAATTCGGGAACCTTGCAGTTTAGACAAGCTTCAGAATCTGAGGATGACTTCATTAAGGAAAAGAAGAAGAAATCTCCAAAGGTTAGGCTATTCTTCCTTTAGGATTTCAGAAATACCTTTTGATGTGACTGTGAGATCAGTAGGTGACTCTAGTGTTTTAGGAAGGCTGAGGAGACTGGTGGAAAGGTAGAGTTGTCTCAACATGATGTGAGTATGGGAATACTGGTCAGGCCTCAGTCATTTTATCCATGTCTCAAGATGTTCCAGTAGACTCAGCAGCGTCATGTTTCCAGATACGTCTCAGAGTGGGTAGAGCCATGAGGGTGTGAGCTAGTGAACTGTATGCCATTCTCTCCACTGTGGACTTGGAGAGAACTTTAGTTCTAGGACTGTCACCCACTGAAAATAGCCTTAGATTGAGCATATTTTAGGGTCTGTCTACCACTGCCTGTTATTTAAAATGAGAGGACCCACCTACCGCCTATTCTGAATCTGTCTTCAGGGGGCTGGAGAGGCGTCTCAGCAGTTAAGAATATTAACTCTTAGCCGGGCGATGGTGGCGCACGCCTTTAATCCCAGCACTCGGGAGGCAGAGGCAGGTGGATCTCTGTGAGTTCGAGACCAGCCTGGTCTACAGAGCTAGTTCCAGGACAGGCTTCAAAGCCACAGAGAAACCCTGTCTCGAAAAACCAAAAAAAAAAAAAAAAAAGAATATTGACTCTTCTTCCAGAGGTCCTAAGTTCAATTCCCAGCAACCACATGGTGGCTCACAGCCATTTTAGTGGGGTCTGATGCCCTCTTCTGGCATAAAGACATACATGCAGATAGAGCACTCATATACATAAAACAAATAAATAAATGTTTTTTGTTGTTGTTGTTGTTTTAAATTTTAAATCTGTCTTCAGACCAGCCACCATGGAGTTTCCATCTGGGTGTTTACTGAACACCGTTGGTGGGATCTATAGGTTCGTGTCCCAGGGACTGCTTTGAAAGAGAAGCCTTTTATGTTCATAAAGGAAATAAAATGAGTCTGAAGATGTATCCTACCTGGAGCAAGGCCAGTGCTGTTTAGTGTACTTGTTCTCTAACTCAGGGAGTTGTATAATTGTACCTTGTCTTTAATTTTCAGAAGCGGAAGTTGAAAGAAGGTGGTGAAAAGATAAAGAAGAAGAAAAAAGATGACACCTATGATAAGGAGAAGAAATCAAAAAAGTCCAAGTTTTCCAAAGCCGGGTAAGAGGCAGCAGCTTTTCGCTAGGATAAAGTCTGGCCTGTGAGGGCCAGATGAGGGCGTGACACTTGAGAGCTGATTTGCCCTCTCCCTCTTCCCCAGCTTCAAAATAGGCTAAAGGGCCTGACCTTCCTTTTCCGTCTCCTCCAGCAGGGCTGTTCTGGGTATAGTCAGCCATTCTCATCTCTGTGTGTCAGATAGCCTATGTGCCTGTGTTCTTCTGTCAATGTCGGCAGCTATTTCTGTCACCATATGGTTGTTGATGTTCCTTGTTCTCTTAGAACTCCTCTCTGTCCCAGTTCTTCTGTCTTAGCTATTATGTCTATGGTCGTGATTCCTCCTTGGTCAGCCCAGCTGCCTTCAAGTTACTACTGTTCTTTCTCTGCTTCTCATGCTTTCTTCCCTGAAATACTTTTCTTGCCCCTCCCTTTTTTTTTTCTACCTTTTATTTCAGCCTGGTAGTGGTTCTTAACTCACTGGATATTTACATTATATGACACCGTGTTGCTAATCTGTATTCATACTCAAGCTTTGGTTTGGCAAAAATGAGTTCTCTCTGCCATGAGGATGAAGGCATGATAACAGAGTGGACTGACAGAACAGAGGCTTTCATGGAGATTCTTTCCTGGGAACAGGGATAAAGGCTACCCTTTAAAAGGATAACATTTCTCGTGGAGAGAGTCCTGCAAGCTGAGTAATCAGTTTCCCTCTTGCTTGCAGCTTCACAGCCCTCAATGCCAGTAAGGAGAAAAAGAAGAAGAAGTACTCTGGGTTAAGTGTTAAAGAGATGCTGAAGAAATTTCAGAAAGAGAAAGAGGCCCAGAAAAAGAGGGAGGAGGAGCATAAGCCTGTAGCTGTTTCATCAATAGATGCTCAGAGCCTGAGAGAATTGGAGGGCACTTCTGACCCATTGCTCTCACTCTTTGGCTCCACTTCTGATAATGACTTGCTCCAGGCTGCCACTGCCATGGACTCCCTGACAGAGTTGGACTTGGAGCAGCTGCTCAGTGAGTCTCCAGAAGGAAGCCCTTTCCAAGATATGGATGATGGAAGTGATTCCCTTGGAGTGGGATTGGATCAGGAATTCAGGCAGCCCTCTTCCTTCCCTGAAGGCCTGCCAACACCCCTGGAGAAGCGTGTTAAGGAGCTGGCTCAGGTATGGAAACACAGTATGGCTGAGCTTTCCTGGAAGCTATTTGGGTAGATTGGCATTAGCTTTACACCTTGTGAAGTTTGCTGCCAAACAGACCCTTAGTGAGCTGGGAAATGGAAGTGTAAAGTTCCCAAGTTTTTATTTCATCCAAGAAGGAACTAATGTAAGCTTTGCACATCAGACTTCATTTTTTTTTTCCCCGCCTCTCTTAATTCCTTCACTTCTAGAAATTTTACTTTGGGGAGTTGTTTTCTCTTGTTTTATTTTCTGCCTATTAGTTTCTTTCCCACAATTCACCTTTCCTTTTGTGGTTGGCAGCCCTGATGTTGGCAGCAGGCAGCTAAGGTAGAATGTCATTTTTTAACTCTTCCAAAGATTTTGAAAAATTCATTGGTTTGTAAACACATGTATAAACATAGAACATGCTTAACTGTTACTTGGTTTTACTTGCTCCCTGTGTTGGGTATCATCAAGAGTGTTCAGGTGTACCTGCATGGTGGCATGTGGGAGCTTAACATTGTGAGCACTTTTCCTGTCCCAGACAACAGCAAACAATCTTTAGCATGGGATAGCTGTGCTGCTGTTTTCCTCCAATATTTGGAGTTGATCCCTAAGTGGTAAGAGCTATCAATTCAGTAATGTAGCTGTAATCTAACTGTGGATCATTAATTTTGATATCATTACCTTTGTTAAAACATTTCCAGCTAGGCACTATGATTTGAACTTTAGTTCCAGGAGCAATTGTGCTCAACAGCTGTACATTTTGAACTAGTGACTCATAGCATTTTCAATTAGTGTAAAACATCAGCTTCATCTAGAAAAGCTTTTCTCGCTTAGAGAAGATATTTAAACACAATATACAAAGCAAACAAAATATCTTATTTATATCTATGATTCCTCTTTGTTGGCCCATGTGTACTATTGGACATGTATTCTTCTTGAATATAATGCTTTAATGAATTGTGTCATGCCAGACACTCAGTATATCTTAATATGATATTGAAGGGAGAGCAGTTAAATCTGCACTTGGCATGTTTGAGCATAATAATCTATTGCTCAAAATTCGTGTTTAAAAATTGCTTCTCAAAATTCATGTTAAAAATTTGTAAGCACTTTGTTTTATAGTCTCTCAAAGTTTTATTGACTAAATTAAATAGGACTAAGCAATAGACCGTTGTTTATTTTACAGAAAAGTCAAGATAAAATCTTAGGTATGCCCTCACTCCCATAGTAGATTGTGATCAGAGTATTAACCTATTATTTTGCTTTTTGGGGGGGAAAGGTTTAGTGATAATAAAGAGCCACAGCCTGAAACAGTTTTGGACTGTGGTATAAGAAAGCCTCTCTAGGGGGCTGGAGAGATCGCTCAGTGGTTAAGAGCATTGCATTGCCTGCTCTTCCAAAGGTCCTGAGTTCAATTACCAGCAACCACGTGGTGGCTCACAACCATCTGTAATAAGGTCTGGTGCCCTCTTCTGACCTTCGGCATACACACAGATAGACTATTGTATACATAATAAATAATAAGGAAAGAAAGAAAGAAAGAAAGAAAGAAAGAAAGAAAGAAAGAAAGAAAGAGAGAGAGAGAGAAAGCCTCTCTAGGTAGGCATGCTATTTGGCAAGTGGTAATGGCTCCTCGGCATTACAGATTTTGCTGCGCCTGGAGTCCTTCATATATGTGCATGGGTGTCTGAATGCCTGGTCCTTTTTTACAATTTATTGGAAAGGAAGTCTTTCCAGAGAAGAATTTATTTAGACACAGAACATTATATAGAATTGCAAAAGCCACATTCGGCTATTTGTATCCTTAATAAAGAGTTCTGTGCTAGATCTTGAAATGAACACAGCATTTTAAAAATTAGAATGCTGGGCACTCACCTATAATCCCAATAGTTGGGAGGTAGTAGCAGGAGAATGGTTGTTCAAGGTAATTCCTTGACAACAAAAGAAGTTCAAGATTAGCCTTAGCTGCATAAGACCCTGTCTCAACTCCAAAGTTAAACTTGCTGTGTATAATTGTTGGTAGCAGTTTAAGTATTTCTTGCTTTATTTTTTACTTCCCTAATTTCATTTTCCTCTCTTTTTAAAAATAAGTTTAGTTTTAAATCTTGCCTTTAGATGAGATACATGCCCATTTCCATTGCTTAAATTTGAAAAGGAATGTTTAGCCTCATTTTGCTCTTGACTAGACTGGCTAACTGGTTCTTTTCTGATTTTGTCTGAGTTCACACTGTGGCTGTATTCAGCCAGCACATTAGCCTAGCCAGATGCTAGCTGGACCTCCCTATCAAGACCTTCTGTAGATTGTAGTTATCTTTTTTTTTTTTTTGGATTTTCAAGACAGGGTTTCTCCGTAGCTTTTTGGTTCCTGTCCTGGAACTAGCTCTTGTAGACCAGGCTGGCCACGAACTCACAGAGATCCGCCTGCCTCTGTCTCCCGTACTGAGTTACTCAGCCTTATCTCAAATTTGTAATCCTGCTTCAACCTCCGGAACAACTGTGATTATGGGTATGAGGCACTAAGCCCAACCTCCAATGGTCTTTAATTTGGATTTATTTAAAAATGTAGCACCAAAGTAATTTATTATAAAACCAAATCCTCAAATTCAGCCTAAGCAGTATAGAGGCTTCAGAAAGAAAGTTTTTAAAGGGTTATACAGGTAGAAAGGTTCTGAAGTACTGGAGAAATGGCTTAATAAAATAAATTTATAGCCTGGTATGGTACTTTAATTGTAGTTCTTGAAGTAGAGGATGGAATCAAGAGTTCAAGGCTAGGAGCCAGAGGGATGGCTCAGTGGTTAAGAGTACTAGTTAGTTGTACAACCATGAGGACCCGAGTTTTGGATTCTAGAATTTATATAACAAAGCTAAGTGTGGTCTAGCATGTACCTGTAACTACACTTAGTGCTCTCAGGTGGGGTGGAACAGAAGAATCAGTGGGCTTGCTGGCTAAAAGCTTAGCTAAAAAGATTGAATTCCAGGTTCAGAGAGAGACCTTACCTCAAAGGAATAAAGCAGAGAGTGATTGAGAAAGAAACTTGACATGCTCCTCTGTCGCACACCAAGGTAGAATTGTGAATGCTTTTGAAAGTATAAGAAATTGCACGTCCTTAGCCATACATAGTAGCTTATGCCTCTATTCCTATCACCCACAAGGGAGAATGACATTTTGGGGAAAAATTCTATTTTGGTGCTGATCTTAGCTCTTGGGAGGTGGAGGCCTGAAGATCAGGAATTAAAGGTCAGTTTCAGCTTTTGAAACCTGTTTCTGGTGGGGATTGGGTAAAAGACCTAACGGCATAGTCAGGGCGACCCAGAGACTGCAATTAGAGGAAGGCAGAAGATTTAAGATTTATATATCTATTCCACAGTCACCTTGTCCCCAATTTATTTAAAGTCTGATTTCAGAAAGTGTGTTCTGCCTTAATGTCTCAGGTCAGTATTTCTTTGGCTTAGGTCAGTGGTTCTCAAGTCACCAAATGTTATTTTGAGAGAGCTGATGTTTGGGCCACTTCTCAAGAACATAAATTCCTCAGACCCAATTCCCAAGATTGTGGTTATTGGCCTTGGGTAGGGAAAGCTGCCTAGGTAACTTCCATGTACAGCCAAGAGAGAATCACTTCAGGGATCCCTAGGCTTGTTTCCAAGTGTCATCTTCAGTATCATGTATTATTTCAGGAGTCTGGGTGTGAGATACTGTTAAGTATATTACAGGTTTTCAAAGGATATCCTTAAGTACTGAAATTACACAATAATTTCTTTTCTAGTAGGAGGTTTATCTCTGGGTACTAGGTATGGCTGGAGTACACAGTATTTTTTTTTACTACTTTCCATAATTTCTGATACATAAAAAAAGCCTTTAGATCAGTGGTTTTCAACTTGTGGGTTGAGACCCCTTGAGGGTCGCCTAAGACTATTGGAAAACACAGATATTTACATTACAAATCATAACAGTAGTAAATTACAGTTATGAGGTTTTTTTTTTTTTTTTTTAGCAACAAAAATAATTTAATGGTTGGGTCACCGCAGCATGAACTGTATTAAAGGGTCACAGTATTAGGAAGATTGAGAACTACTGCTTTAAATCTTGTAGGTTTGTTTAAGGTCTTAGTTGATTTTCTACCACTGACAGTGTAGAAATTCCAATTTACAGTGTAGTTGGTAAGCGTCTGGACACAGATGCAGGGTTACTAGTTGAGTTGGCCTCTGACCAGATTCCTCAAGATCACTGCTTTTTGTTCCGTGATTAGTATTGTAAGTCCCAAGAAACTTGCCCACAGGTATTGCATCAGTTTTATGATTTTTAATCTGGGGCTGGGTTATAGTCAGGAAGATGGTGGGAAGTGTTTTGCTGGCAGGTGCTCTTTGGGAACAGTGATTCTGTGCCTGCTAGTGAGTGTTTAAGGGAAATTGTGAATGAAGAAAGGACACTAATATTTGTTACTGTCTCCTGTGAATCAGGCTGCCAGAGCTGCTGAGGGAGAGAGCAAACAGAAGTTTTTCACTCAAGATATTAATGGCATCCTGCTAGAGTGAGTATCTGTTTGTCTCTGTTTTCCTATTTAGAATGAAACAGGGACACTAGATCCCTGTCTCCATAATGATAGGCTTTATAGACATTATAAAATGCTATAATATATATATTGTCATGGTCTATTGGAAGAGGATTTCTTGGCAAGTATGAGATGAAAAGAGAGAATCCAGAAGAATGACAATCTGGTAACATTAGGTTTGTTATGCATGGGGTGCCTCTAAGGGTTCATTCTTGTTTTTACTTGTGCTCCCAATACATTTCATCCCATCGTCCCCAGATCCCCAAACGTCTGGGTACTTTGCTGTGTGGACTGGATAGAAAGGACAACAAGTATACAAATCTAAACAAAATCTCTATGTCAGGCCAACAGAGGATTTTTTTTTCAATGTAAGAACAGTTATCAAGGCTTGAGAATGTTTCCATAAATGCCCGCTGAATAGGATGTGGATGGACCTTTTGGCTCAGGAAGCACAGGGCCTCAAAGAGCACCTGAAGGTCAGGTCAAAATTTTGTGTCAATAAAGAACCCACTTGAATGTACCATATACAGAAAGCTCAAGCTTTTCCTGTTTGTCCAGATGGAGAAACTAGAGAGGTGCAGATTTTCCTGATCTCATGATCATGGGTAGAACTAGTAACTGAAACATAAAAACATGCTGGAGAAGGCTGGAGAGATGATTTAGTGGATAAGAGAATGTGCCATTGCTCTTGCAGAAGACCTGGGTTTGGTTCCTCGCACCCTCATGGTGACTCACAACTGTCCTTAACAACTGGCTCCTTAACTCCAGGTTCATGGGATCCAGTGCCCTCTTTTGACTTTCATGGGTACCAGGCATGCACATGATAAACACATATATGTGCTGGCAAAAAATCCTGCATAAAAGAAGAACCAGTCACTGGGTGGTGGTGGCGTATGCCTTTAATTCCAGCACTTGGGAGGCAGAGGCAGGTGGATCTCTGTGAGTTTGAGCCATCTTGGTCTGCAGAGTGAGTTCTAGGACAGCTGGGACTATTTCACAAAGAAACCCTGTCTTTAAAACAAAAACAAACAAACAAAAAACAAGAACAGGGAAAAAACAAGAAAGAAAGAAAGAAAGAAAGAAAGAAAGAAAGAAAGAAAGAAAGAAAGAAAGAAAGAAAAGAAAGAGAGAGAGAAAGAAAGAAAGAGAGAAAGGAAAGAAAGAGAAATCTTCAAAATATTGCTGGAAAGTATTTCATGGCAATTACTTTCACTTTTAAAGCTTTTGTGTTTTTTTTTAATGCTCATACCCCACCCCTCTTCTCTCTTTTTGAAACAGGGTCTCTCTATGTAGCCTTGGCTGCACTGGAACTCACTCTGTATACCAAACTGGCCTCAAACTTTCCAAGTGCTGGGATTAAAGACATATGCCACCACCATCTACTTCTTGGCTTTGTTCTCATGGCTACCTTTGACTTGATCTTATCCTTGACCTAAGAGCTTTGACCCTCTTTCCCTAGCCAAATTCATTAAGCCTGAGAGTTTTCCTTATGTTGTTGTTGGAGATTTTGTTGCTGTGGCTACGTGGTTATATTGTCTCCATCAAGATAAGGTTCAGACTGCTTTTGGTGCCTACCTTTCTTCTCCAGACTGCAACCTAAGGAAGATGAAACTTGCATCAAGCTGCATGCCATTAATTACTGTGTTGTGTTCTTCAGCATAGAGGTGCAAACCCGGGAGCTGACTAGCCAAATCCGTTCTGGGGTGTTTGCTTATCTGGCTTCATTCCTGCCCTGCAGCAAGGATGCTTTGGTCAAGCGTGCTCGGAAACTTCACCTCTATGAACAGGTGGGTGGCAGCGTCCACATAGGGATCATATATGCTGCATTGTCTCCTTTTGATAGCCTCTTGTGGGTCCTTAGTGTGAGAGTGGTACATAAGTCAAACCTGGACTTTGTCCTTTCTTTGCAGGGTGGGCGCCTAAAGGAACCACTCCAGAAACTCAAGGATGCCATTGGCAGGGCCATGCCTGAACAGGTGGCCAAGTACCAGGATGAATGCCAAGCACACACACAAGCAAAGGTTGCTAAGTAAGTGTGTCCCATCTCATTTGGGTGTCATTATTTTCCTATATCTTCTACCCCCTCTTAAAATTATTTGTGCGAGTCTGTGTGTAGAAACGTGCATGTGCCTACAGCATCCAGAAACAGTCAGATACCCTGGAGTTGTAGTTACAGATAGTTGTGAACTGGAGTGCTGGGAACTGAATTTGGATCCTCTGTAAGAGCAGTACATGCTCTTAACCACTGAGCCATCTCTCTGGGTCACTGTCTCTTCTTTTTACACTTCTCAGTATTACATTTCCAACACAATTCTAGGCATTTCAGCATTTTCTGATCTTAAATCAAGGAGACTATTGTAGAAGGGAGGAAGGAGGGGGAAGCTGGTGGGCAGGAGGACCTCAAGGTTCCTTCTGTTCCCTCTATAGGATGCTGGAGGAAGAGAAAGACAAGGAGCAGAGAGAACGAATTTGTTCTGATGAGGAAGAAGATGAAGAAAAGGGGGGCCGGAGGATAATGGGACCCCGGAAGAAATTCCAGTGGAATGATGAAATCAGGTGTGCACAAACTGGGACCTTGCGTCATTGGAGGGTTTGTGAGACCAGTGTCTGAGCCTGTCCCCATATTACTAATGAAGGTTAGGATTAATTACTTTCATGGGTTGCTGAAAGCAAACAGTGACAGCTGTGAAACAGCATTTGGGGTGGTGGGAAGTTTCTGATCTCTCTCTGCTTCTCAGGGAGCTTCTGTGCCAGGTGGTGAAGATCAAACTGGAGAGCCGTGATCTGGAGAGGAACAGCAAGGCTCAGGCCTGGGAGGACTGTGTGAAAGCTTTTTTGGATGCTGAGGTCAAGCCTTTGTGGCCCAAAGGCTGGATGCAGGCCAGGTGAGACAGGCTAGTCTAGGCTGACAGTGATCCCTTCCCTCAGAAGTCATTGTCTTGTTGATTCAATTCTGATGTCACTTGAGTACCTAGGGACATAATGGGATCTATAAAGGAGTCTTCTTACCCTTAGAAGAGAAATCTTACTTGTAGAGTGCTTGTCCTACTTGAGTCAGAGGATTGGCTGTATTCTCATTTCGTCACAGTATGAACTTCGGTGTTTTGATGCAATGGCTGTACCAGAGACTGATCGAAGTCATCTTGGGGACTTCCTCATATATTCACAGGGTGCAGTGCTAATTCCATGTGGGAGCCTAGTGTTAGGCTTCTGTCTCAAAAGTTCCTTTATGTGTGTTGCCATCCATGAATGGAGCATGTCTTTTTTATGTAGGGCATGGGAGGTTAAATAAAGACAGTGATTGATTCATCAGTGATTTAGACAGATGATGGAACCTTGGGAATTATTATTCTTTCCTTATAGAATATGTTATATAAAGATAAATTTTGTTAAGTTTCTCTGAGGGGAAAAAAAGATGCTATATGTGTTTCTTCACATTGTCTCCTTAGGTGGATTTAGAATATCAGTAAGAAAAATACCACTGTCCTAGGGAACTTGTGGCTTTGAGAGGTTGCAGCACAGCCACTGACTTTCTTAGTAGGGCCTAGATGTTTGGCTTTAGATGAGTTAGTGAGGTCATATTAGGCCCGTCAGCTGGTTTATGGCTCTCTAGTCAGCTAGATTAAGTAAGTGCCACTGAGTATCAGGGCCTCCAGGGAAGCTCTAGAAGCAGAGTTGTGGCATGCTGGGGCAGATATGATACCCTAGCCCTTTTTCTTTCAGGACTCTATTTAAAGAGAGCCGGCGAGGCCATGGGCACCTGACGTCACTCCTGTAAGTACCTCAGTGTTTTATTTCTTGGGACACTGCTATTTTAATCTCCTCTCGAGGACCTCTTTTGAACCATTTCTGTGTTTATTTCTTCGAACAGGGCCAAGAAGAAAGTAATAGCTCCCTCAAAAATCAAGGTGAAGGTGAGTCAGCTTGCTTTGGCTATGTGCCGTTTCTGAAGCCATGCTCAGGAAATGTCTTGACTGCTCATGGCTGCTTGGTAAGCTTCACTGAGAATAGTTACTCAGATGGCACTCTTGAACAAGGCAGGCATCTAAGCAGAGCCTTTAACCCTCTCTCTCTAGCCTCAGTTTTTCACAGCAGTACTCAGCCAGTCCAGTTGCTATGGGACTCAGTAGAGTTTGAAGTAACTCCAAAGAAGCACAGGACAGGGTCACTGTAAATGTGAAAGCTCGGCGGTGTAGTAGACCTCTTAGGGAGGCAGTATATTCCTGCTGTAGCCAGTTAGTTTGTAACAGTAGCAGAAAGGAGAAGTGGCTCTGTTAGTTACCTGGGAGAACAACAGGGAAGTAGTGGATGGAGCACAGAAATGTGAAAAACATCTTAGAGATTGCAGAAACCTCTCAGTAGGGAACATTGGTCCTTGCCTAACATTTACCTGTTGAGTTTGCTGTTCCCTTAGCCCTACTTAAAGTGATTGTTAGAACAGATGTTTAAATTGTTTATTCTTGAGTATCTGAAAGGTTCCTACAATATGTGAGAACATACTGTGTTAAGTACTGGGATGCATGAGCAATGATATAGATCCCATTTCTGTTGCCATGAGAATGGCTGATGAGTCAGGTATTGAGGAAAAGTAAGTTAATTGAAAGTAATTCTCATTAGTCTAATTTCAGTCAGGAGCATTCAAGATAGTTTGAATGTCAGCAGATTGTCTTGGTTAGCTTTCTATTGTTGTGATAAAACACCATGACTAACAGCAACTTGGGGAGAAAAGGGTTTATTTTGCCTTATAGCTTATAGTTCATCATCCAGGGAAGTTAGGACAGGAACTCAAGCAGGGCAGAAGCCTGGAGACAAGAACTGGTACAGAAGCCATAGAGGAGTGTTGCTTACTCAGCCTGCTTTTGTATAGCACTCAGGACTACCAGCACAGGAGTGGAACTACCCATAGTGAGCTGGGTCCTTCTGTATCAATCATCAGTCAAGAAAATGTACCACAGGCTTGCCCATAGGCCAGCCTTGTGTGAGTGTTTTCTCAATTGAGATTACCTCTTCTAAAATGACTCCAGCTTGCACTAGACAGTTGATATAACACTAGCCAACAGAGCAAGTCTTACACTATTTCAGAAACTAAAAGAAGAACAATTTTACTGTGGGCATGGGTATACTTTGTGGCAAAGCATGTTGGCCTAAAATCAACCTCTGCCAGCTAGGCACATGCCAAATAGTACTACAAGGCAAACACATGCCAGATAGTACTATGAGGCAAGGCAGACATGGTACCTACTCTCATCCATCACTTGTCTTATAATTACCCATTTCTCTTGTTGACATCTTTGTAACAGGCCATTATTGGTATCTTTGAATACTTCTAACTATGAGCATCTCTGTTTTTCTTTAGGAATCATCTGCTAAGCCTGACAAAAAAGTTTCTATCTCATCAGGACAGCTTGGTGGTCCCACTACTTTGCTCTCAGAACATCAGAGTGGAGGCCTGAGCATTGGAGCAACTAGTAGGGAGCTTTCATCCCAGGCAGCTTGTGGCCTCACTGACCCTGTACCTATCACTCTGGAGGATTCACTGGATGAAGACTTAGCCCGGAATCCAGCCTCTTCTGTGGAAGCTGTGTCTAAAGAACTGGCTGTATTGAACAACAGAGCCGCCAGCAGTTCTGAATTCACACTGCCTGCACCCTCTAAAACACCAACAGAAAAAGTTGCTGGTGTTTTATGTACAGAAGAGAAACGGAACTTTGCAAAGCCTGGCTCTTCTGCACCACCACCCACTAATGCTCTGCAGTCACCTCTCAATTTTCTGGCTGAACAGGCTCTAGCACTGGGGCAGTCCTCTCAGGAGAAAAAGCCAGAGAGTTCTGGCTACAAAGAGCTGTCCTGCCAAGCTACCCTCAGCAAGGGTATGTCTGAATTGCACCAGTCCAAAGCAAAGCACCACAGTTTGCCACGGACGTCTCATGGAGCCCAGGCAGCAGCTCCCATGCCTAGCTCCCAAGTCAAAGTCTTTCATGCAGGCACTCAACAGCAGAAAAGCTTCACACCCCCAACCCCCTTTGTCAACAAGCTGCAAGGCCCAAAGCCTGCCTCTCCACAGTGTCATCGTTCCCTCCTGCAGGTGGTAAAGACAGCAACCAAAGGCCAGGCCTTCCATGCCACTATGCCAACCTCCTCTGGAAGTTCACCAGCCTCCAGCAGCAGCTCTCATAAGAACACAGCCTCATCCTCCACTACCCTGAGCCATCCAGCAAAGCAGCATCCAGCCAGCACTGTGGGACCATCTTATAAGAATAATCCCTTTGCTGGCTCAGTCTCTAAACATGGGGCTTCTACTAGTAGTCCATCTCCTGGAGGAGCCCAAGTACAGAGCTCTATTTCTGGGACCTTGCTACCTGGTGTGCAGTCTCCCTCAGCGGGACAGCCTTCAAGCCGAGCTGCCCCAACTTCAGCTGTGAAAAAAACACCTGTTTCTCAGAAGCTGACCCTGGTGGCTCCTCCTGGAGGTCCAAATGGAGATTCTGGTGGTGGGACCCAGGGAGTGGCAAAGTTACTGACCTCCTCCCTGAAGCCTGCTGCAGTTAGTAGTGTGACATCGTCTACCTCCTTGCCAGTGAGTATCCCAGCATTGTAACCTACCCCTACTGAGGGTATTTGGGGACAGTGCTGCTTGCCTTGCCCTGGTCTGCAAATGTAGTCTGAAACAGAAAGTCAGGTAGGGGACAGCAAGTGAGATTAGATACTAGAGAGAGTACTGGATTTCCTGTTTAGTCTCACTTTTACTGGTGGTTGGAGGACTGATATTACCTGAATGTTTTTTTAGTAGGGGAAAAGGAAGGGAATATCTGTTGGCATTGGGTTCCTTGAGAGATTGAGCCTGCAAGGAGTAGAGTGTGCGCCAGAACCTGCTCTGCCCTCTAACAGTACCTTCAGCTATTAGGTGGCAGTCAGGAAATGTTTAGCCTTAGCACAAACTGTCAGTACCTTCTGGTTGCAGTTCCCTAATAGACTTAAAAGAACTCTGTAAGGGCTGGAGAGATGGCTCAGTGGTTAAGAGCACTGGCTGCTCTTCCAGAGATCCCAAGTTCAATTCCCAGCAACCACATGGTGGCTCACAACCATCTGTAATGAGATCTGGTGCCCTCTTCTGGCCTGTAGGCACACATGGAGGCAGAATCTTGTATACATAATAAATAAAGAACTCTGTAAGTCAAAAGTGGTTTGACCTAGCAGGGAAGGTGTGTTGTGAGGTGTGTATATAAATTTAGAAGTCTGACCAGGGTTGTGTTGCACATCTGTAAACCCAAAGATAGAAACAGGATACTCAGGTGTTCAAAGCCAGTTTTGGTTACATATCTAGTTTGAAACCAGTCTGAATACATGAGACCCTGTCTTAAATTGAAAAGAGGTCTGGAGAGATGGCTCAGCAGTTAAAAAAAACACATAAGCCAGATGGTGGTGGTGCATGTCTTTAATCCCAGGCAGATCTCTTGTGAGTTTGATGCTAGCCTGGTTTATAGAGCGAGTTCCAGGATAGCCAGGGCTACACAGATAAACCCTGTGTTGTAAAACCAAAAGAAAAAAGGTATAGATAGGTCAGTTCATCAAGATCTTGATTTTCCCTGCCTCTCTGAATAGTGACTGTACACATTAGTTTCTAGGAGAAAAGAAAAAAAATGGTGTATGTACACATGTTTGTATGAGTGGGAACACATATGTAACATGGTGTGTGTGTGTGTTGAGTTCAGACTTCACCTTCTGTCTTGTTTGAGACAGAATTGCTTTGTTGTTCACTGCTATACCAGGCTAGCTGGCCCTTGAGTTTATAAAGCTCCTCATCTTGTAGGTGTACTGGATTACAGACTCATGTCACTACACCCAGTTTTATATGGGTTCTGGGGATTTAGACTCGGGCCTCAGAGCTGAGGCTCTAGATCACAGTACATGCACAAAGTCTTACATTTAATCCTTACTACTGCTAGGAAAAAAAGGAAAAAGGGAAACCATTCACTTAATGTTGCCTTGACAATACATTATAGGTTGGGGCTATAGCTCAGTTGGTAGAATGCGTGACTAACATGAAGCCCTGGATGTGGTCCCCAGCACCACACTAACTGGGCATGGTGCTACATACCCGTTGTTTTTTGTTTTGTTTTGTTTTGTTTTTTTGTTTTTGTTTTTTTCTTGGTTTGGTTTTTGGTTTTTTCGAGACCGGGTTTCTCTGTAGCTTTGGAGCCTGTCCTGGAACTAGCTCTGTAGACCAGGCTGGCCCTGAACTCACAGAGATCTGCCTGCCTCTGTCTCGCGAGTGCTGGGATTTAAAGCATGTGCCACCACTGCCCAGCAGTGGTGCATGTTTGTAACCTCAGCACTAAAAGGCAGAGTCAGCAGGATCAGCTACATAATAGACCAGTGTGGGCCTATTATGAGACTCTGTCTCAAAAATAGAACAAGGACTTCCTGTTTCCTATAAGCCCTTTGATTGAGGTTTGCAGCCATGGTGAAAGTCTTAATAAAGACTTATGCTTTTTGTGACGATCCATGATCTTCTTGAAGTGTCTATAAGTAAGATAAGGGCATATAATGGATAAGCTGCAACTCAGCCCATTAAATGAAAACGCACACACCTGCCTTTGCCTTCTGAGTACTGGTATTAAAGGTGTGTGCCACCATGCCCAGCTAAACAGGACTTCTTTTAGTTTATTTATCTTTTAACTTACTGTGGTGTCAGGGTTCATGAATATGTACTAGCTCGTCTCATTGAAAATTTAATTATGATCTAGTGCAGTTAGATTTTACCAGCCATGTTCCACCATAGTACTGCAATGAAGCTTCCTTTTCCAGTTAACTTTAAAAGTCCTATGATGGGACAGTAGTGTTCACTTTCATGTGAACATGAATATGTGGGGGAACCATTTTCAGTTGGATCTTTTTGAATGAGAATCTTGCCACACTGTTTATACTTATGAAGGCTTTGGGTGGGATCCTGGGCTCCTCTAGATAACTTCTGGTTTTTTTTTTTTTTTTTTGTGTGTGTGTGTGTGTGTGTGTGTGTGTGTGTATGAGTATGATTGTCTTGTCTGCATGTGTACCATGTGCATGACTGGTGCCCACAGAGGCCAGAAGAGGGCATTGGATCCGTTGAGACTAGTTAAGCCCATTGTGAGCCACCATAAGAGGTGCTGGAAGTCCAACCCGGCTCTCTAGAAGCATAGCTGAATTTTAGAAACTGCAACAGCCGGACAATGGCGGCACATGGCTTTTATTCCAACACTTGGGAGCAGAGGCAGGTAGACCTCTGAGTTCTCAGTTCTAGGACAACCAGGGCTATACAGACAAACCCTGTCTTGAAAAACCAAAAACCAAACCAACAAACAAAAACCACAAAGGTCCTCACTGAGCCATCCCTGCCCATATATGTATTACATAGGTTTATATAAGTAATTTAAAATATGAGTGTATATAAATTTGTTTATTCTATATTTGTATATCTGTGAGTTTGTGTGCATTATAGAGATCTATATATAGTGTATATTTTATAACTATATTTTTTTGTTTGTTTGTTTGTTTTGAGACAGGGTTTCTCTGTGTAGCCTTAGCTGTCCTGGAACTCATGCCATAGACTAAGCTGACCTCAAACTCAGAGATCCGTCTGCCTCTGCCTCCTGAGCGCTGAGATTAAAGACATGCGCCACCACTGTTGGGCTCATATATGGTATATTACTTACATGTTTCACAAAAGAAACATATTTACTTTTGGATTTTTGGGTGGGGGAGAATTTTTCGAGACAGGGTTTCTCTGTGTAACAGTCCTAGCTGTCCTGGAACTAGCTCTTGTAGGCCAGACTGGCCTTGAACTCAGAGATCTGCCTCCCAAATGCTGGGATTAAAGGTGGCGCCACCACCTCCTGGCCATATTTACAATTTTTTAAATTGTCTGTGTACCCTGGAAGCCTCTAGACGCTGGCTTATAGACACTTCCTCATTCCTCTTTTGAGTGCTGAGTAGTAGGGACTCTCACAGGTGAGGTTCTTAACTGTGTGTGTGTTTCCTCCCCAGAAAGGAACCGGAGGGGCAGTGCTGCTGTCCAACACCGCTCCCTTAAGCCTGCTGCCTTCAACCTATAAGTCCAGCAACCCCAAGCTTCCGGGGGCTATGAACTCAAACTCACTGGGAATCATAACCCAATTTCCACTTCATGTGCTCTCCTTCAGTTCAGACTCCTCTGCCAAAGCAGGAGTCTCTAAGGATGCCATTGTTACAGGCCCTGCCCCTGGGACCTTCCACCATGGCCTCAGCCACAGTAAGTTCTTATCTCCTGCTGCTGTTCCTATGTTGTGTGCCATGTTGGGTCTTGTATGTGTTTGGTGTGACTGTGGGAGTACCCCTTGTTCAGGGAAGCTGCTTAGTACCTGGAGTAGCTGTTTTGTTCCAGACTGGCCCACAGGTTACCTGGGGCTCTGGATCTCCCAAGATCTGCTTTTCTGTTCTGTCTTCAATGTGTATGTTTTGTTCTCTCCCCTCCTGTTTTCTCTCAGGTCTTCTGGCTGGCTTGCACTCCAGCCCACCTCACACAGCGCCTCTCCCACATGCTGCTGTGTCCACCCATGTCCCACAGAGTCTGCCAGGTAAATGCCAGATGGGCAGTGTGCCATGAGCCTTGTGCACCATACCCCTCCACCCTCGGTGCTTTGCTGTCAGCACTTTTAGCCATCCCTGCTTCATCATCACTGTTTTGTATTTTGCTTTGTCTTTTGAGGCTCTGGCTCTTTGGCTTTGGGTTCCAGAATAATATAAGCCTATTCTACCAGAGGCTTTTCCTGATTTCCTATTGGAATGGCCACTGGGCATGACTTAGCCTGCGTGACAGCAGTATATGGTAGAGCCCAATCATGAAACAGAAGTGTTCCAACCCTTAACGTGCATTTAAAAAGAAGAAAGGTAATGGTGGCTCTTGTCCACCAAAGGCTAACCAAGCACTTCAGGGCCTCCATGATGAAATCCTATACACCTACCAGGCATTGTCAGGTGGTGGATGCTATTTGAAAGGATTAAATAGCCACAGAATAGGGAGAGAACATAGTACATGTCTGTGAGAGAGTTAGTATGAACCCGGAAGAGAAGCAACTGTCAATCCACCCTGGTGTAACCTTCCTTTAAAACAGAATTGGACGTGCACCAGGAATAAAGCCAGTATCTCCTGACAGAATGGTTCTTCTGAAAGTAGGCAGCTCTAAGAGCCCTGGGTACATGTGCTACCAGCTTGAGAGCATGAGAATGGGGAATAGTTACCACAGGCAGGTATCTTGTAATAAGTGGACTGGCCTCACTCTTTCCTGGATTCTTGCATATAGATACCTCATGGGATTTTGGCTTAGGAGCCCAATGGGAACCTGATTTTGACCTAGTGTTCTTAGCACTTTAGACCTGTTCCAAACAGGACCCAGGGCTGTACTGGGGAGAGCAGGACTGAGCTTAAGGAACATGGGGATTTGTGTAGGGCTATGTCAGATGCAGACTCTAGGGCTATGTGTGCCTTTGACCAGCTCATGGACGGTCAGGGCTCCCAGCTCCTTGTCTGCTTTGTGATCTGCTTGTGTGGTTTTTGTACCAATGTCTTAAAGCTGAGAACTCTGTAGTGAATGCTGGAGGTCTTGTTAGGATGAAGGCGAGTTTGTAGGTCTCCACAGTGGGAAACCCTTTGAGGAGCAAAGTCAGGGTCAGTAGTCATTCCTGTCCTCTGAAGAAGCAGTCACATCTGAGGACTTTCTACACTGGTGGCTGCTACTCGGATTAAGTGCAGTGTGGGTACCTCCCCAGCTCCAGAGAGCCTGTGTGATGTGAAAGTGAGATGGTGCCACTTCCACCTGCTTTGGAAATGGCTTTCCTTGAGAGAAACAAAGTGATTGAAGAACCACTGGAAACAGACTCTGGGTCTGTGGAGTTTTCAGTCAACAGGGGGAGGAGGGAAACTGATAGAAAGGGAAAGAAAAACATTTCTTATACTATTTTCCTATCATGTTCCCTCCAACCCCCCACCTCCCCCCATCCCCTGTCTTCCAAAGCTGTCTGAATGGTTGGGGATATAGTTCATGACTGAGCACTTGCCTAACATATATAAAGCCCTGGGATCATTACCAGTACCATGAAGAGTAAAAGAAAAAGCACTGGAGGCAAGCAGAAGAATAGTCACGCAAAATGGGTTAGCCAGGAGCTGAAACTTGTTTCTGCTCTGCTTTCCCTTTCTCCCACGTGGACTTGATGGTGATGCTTTTGTCTTTGTTCCTCTGGTACCTGAGTGCATTTTGATGGCAAGAGGGTGGATATTGTCTGGATTCTGTGTGGTCATCAGGCCTTGCAGCTGTCCTTGTCATGTTGCAGAGTGCCTGTTCTGTAGACAGTACTCCATGGCCCCCTGCCTGCACAGTGCTAGTGCTCATGCATGATGCAGGATGCTACAAGAAGCAATGCACACAGCCACTGTTTGGGGACATTTGCTGCTTACTTTCCTTGTGAAGTTGTTTATGTCATAAAGGAACTGGAGTGTTTAAAGAATATTCTGTTTTTGCTTATTTTCCAGATGCTTCACAGCTTCATGGGAAAGGGCCTGTTGTACCGAGGAAATTGTGACCACTTTGGAGGATAGAATCAAATGACGTAGGTCTAGGAGGAAGCCCAACATGTAGGTCTCTGATAACAGACATTTGCTGTGCTCTTCCTGCCCTCTGCTTTTATTCTGGAGCAGGAATGAGTTTGAGATGGAGCACTTCTTAGCACTTCTGATGGGCCTTCAACCAAGGGGCAGCTTGTGCTGCTCACAAAGCACTTACTGACCTGGTGCTCGGGGCCTCGTGGCTTTGTCGCTGGACGACATCAAGGGGCAGCTCTGGGCTGAGAAGTGTGCCTAGACTGTGTTGGGAAACATGGTGTGCGTGAGCTCCTGTGGCAGATTTGTTGGCTACTGGGTTCTAGATCTGTCCAAGTCCTGGTATTTGGTGTATCTCAGAGCTCCCTACTGATCAGGGACCCCTGGCCACAGTAGAATCCCTGGATGGTTGTGATTCTCTCCCATCCTCAGGCTGTGTGCTCAAGAGGACAAGACCCAGGCCAGAGCCACAGGTGGGAAATCTTGCAAAATACTAAGAACACCTAATGTGTGCTCTTGTAGGGGCCAGTTTCTCCTTAGAACATGACAATGAAGCTCTTATAGAGAAAAAGATCTTTATAGATTCAACAATCGTAGTAGGATTTTAAAAGACACCTATCTTGGGCTGTTTTCATCATTACCATTGAATGCATTGGATAGAATGGGACTGCTCTTCACACATCACATTATAGGAAGACTTAATTCCAGTGCCTTTTTGGTGGAGCAGACTTTGACAACTCGAATCTATCCATTCAGCCCACTGAGTGGATCTGAGATGAAGACCTTTTTTTAAAGCTAGTCTGTATTTAAGACAGTTTTATTTAATTGGGTTTTTTTTTATGACTGCACATCATAATCTGTGCCGTCCTGACTTGAAAGTCATCTGAGCCCCCAAATCCCAGGTTCCCATAGAGCTACAGCTCTGTTTTGTTTTTCTAGAGTTTATGCAGATGGGCTGCAGGGAGCCCATCAGTCCTCTGTGTCTTGAGCCCAGGGGTTCCAAGCCACAGGTAGACATTCCACTCTGTCTTATTCTTAGAAATCTCTCTGGCAGAGCTGCAGGACAGGCCTCTCTGAAGCCTCTGCCACAGAAAACAGGTCTGGGGTACTGGTGCTCTCTGGACAGTGAGCTTCTGTGTGGTCTTAGGGGGATGTGCAGAGAGTCTGGAGAGTCGACAGAGGACAAAGATAGTGACTACAGAGCTTCCATCACTAGGCTATCACACTCACCCAGTGTCTATTTCATATGGACTTGGAGGGCCGTTGCCTATCTTATAAATCTACCACATAGTGGGTCTGGCTGACTGCCTAGCCAGACAACATTTAGGAAGGTGATCAGCACTCAGTGTGCACCCAGGGTGAGTCCGGTGTGCTTTTGGTTCCTGCCTCAAGGGTGTGGAACTCAGTAGCTCTCCTTTTCCACCTTTTTGGGAGCAAGACCTTTGTCAGTTCTTTGGTCTGGCCTCTGTTCTGATTCCTTTTGTATGGAAGAACCAATTGTTTTCACATTGGGCCATGTGGATTCCTTATCCTTTTATTACATATATTTTTTGCAACTTGGATTTCCAGTTTGTTTACAGAATAGTCTTAGGTAGTAGCAAAAAGAGCCAAAGAAGAGATTTGTATAGCTGAGCTCTAAGCCGAGCTGAGGCCGCCAGCAAAGCTGAGCAGTGGGAACTCTCCAGGCTCCTCTGCCCGTCAAACAACGGGCCCCAGCACCCCACCCCTTTGGTGCTCCCTCCTCCCCATGTGCCACTGCGTGTGCAGCTAGAGCAGGATGCCCTCATCTTTAGGAATCTAGCGATGCCTCTTGCCTCAGGGAAATGTTTCTTTGATGGGGAGTTTATGAGATTTCTTTTCCTTGTTTATGCTTTATTTGTGGTAATGAAAGAGTGAGTGACTTAAACAGCCATGGCGGGGGAGACCTGCGGCCTGGCTACAGCAGAGGGTGGGGGTAGAGAGCGCTCAGTGGGATGCAAGGGTTTCTTTGGTGGGTGCAAGGCTCTGAGCACTTAACCAGGCGTGGCCGTTTCTTAGGTGTGAGAGGGGCTGTGGCTTTTGTGCAGCAACTATGTTGGTATTAGGGGGTGGTGTGGAAATTGTTAATCTTGTATAAAGCAACTCAATAAATTGTTTTGAGGTTTCCAAACTGTCTTTCCTCATTCTTTTGTATTTGCAAGTGATTCTTTCATGCATAGGAGCCCTGGTGTATATGGAATGCCCATTTGTGACTGAGAGCTAAGTCAGCCTCCTGTAAAGGAATCATACTTGCTTGGAGTTAGAAGCAGCCACCAGATTTTTATTTTCATGCTACAAATAAAGTTCCCTATCACTTCCCATTTTCTTACATAATACTTGAGATACAGAGAAGCAGAAATTTGATGAACAATCAACCTTCATATATCTAAATGCCAGTGAGATAATGAGGACTTATAAGGCACTGAAAGTAAGGGTAGCACATCTTCCATTACTAAGATCTTTTCACTTCAGAAGTAGGAAACAGTTGTTGATACCTGTCTTTCTGGCACATTTTTCTAGCTTTCTAGCACCAAGAGCCAGGCATTGTGGGTTCTGAACACATTTTCAGTCTGTCTCATGGGAAGAGTCACTATTACTGAGCGGGCACTGCTGATAGTTTGATCCCAGCCAGAAAGTTGAAATGGTGAGAAGGAAGGTCAACAGCCCCGACGACCCAGTCTTGAGTGAAAAGTCAGAAAGGAGGCCTTCCGCCCTCTATGTCACTGTGTATATGACATGCTAAAGCCCATGCTGTTTTGGTGAATGTGTCTACAATATTTCCTCATGCTATAGTTTCCAGCTATAAGCACCAATGATGGGAACATATAGGAAAGGGAGAGAAGAGACTATCAAGGTTATTGATGTGGGACAAGTCACTCACCAGACTGAATAGTGCTGAGCTGAGAGTTGCCTATCCAGTTGGTGTCTGTGCTGGTACTACAATAGCTGCACTGTAATCAGCCTGATACAGTGTGGATAACACCTAGCTCAGAGGCCTGCATGAGGACTGGGGAGCGGAAGACCCCCAGGAGGTTGTAAGCCAACCACCCCCTTCCAAGGAAAGCCAGGCAGAAGAGTTGGACCTACTTCTGCCCAGAAACCAAGACTGCCAGCTCCTGAATGGACATATCCTTGTTGATGTAGCGGTCGTACTGAGCAGGGGTTAGCCTTCCACTTTGCAAAGCATCCTCAATAGAGAACTTCTTGCCAGACTTCCTGTCATGGATCACTGATGACTCCCCATTAGGGCCTTTCACTGATATCTCCTCCCAGTCGCACTCCTGGCTTCTGAGCTTCACAAACATGTTCCAGTCGATGAGCCCAGCCCTGTGGGCCTCCTCTGGGGACAGCTCGCGGCCTGTGTCAGGGTCAATGACTACTATGGAGCGCCTCAGGTGGTTCTCCCTCTGCTCTCTCTTGACGGCCACAGAGCCCAGGCGCCTCTGCAGTTCATCAATCTCCAGATCCTTGTCCTTGGACATTTTCTTGAGGTCGTCCAGTTCCTTCTCTAGGGACCACAGCCTAGAGTTGAGGTGGCTTCCAGAATCCACTGTGGTGATGTTCCTTAGATCTCGAGTTTCTGTTGTTGCCATCTCAATCTCTGATTGGAGTCTCCGGGTCTCCAGCTGTAGGCTTTGCCGCTCTAGCTGCAGCTTGTGGTTTTCTTCTCTGAGGAAATCCAGTTCCTTGGATGATTTAGAATTATAGAATTCTAACTCAGATAACTTGGCTTCCAGCCTGGTCATCTCTACATCTAGCTCCCTCTTGCTCCGGGTCTCCTCTTCCAGGCTCTTCTTGAGCCGCTGGATCTCTTGTTCAGTGTCGCCCTTTTCCACCTGAACGCTCTCAGAGAAGACCACCTTTTCCTTGACCTCTGTCTTCTCCAGGGCGGCCAGCTTTCTACGAAGGGGTTCAAGCTCGCCCTCCAGTAGCTGCCTCCGGTGCCGCTCTTCCTCCAGCTGGGCTCGGAGCAGGGCATGTTCCCTGGTTTGCTGTGGGTCCTGCTGCAGCACCACCTTCTGTGTGTGGGTTACCTTCTCACCTGCCTTGGCCTCCTCCTGTTCCAGTGCAGCCAGCCGCTGCTGAAGCCTCTGCACCTCCAGCTCAGCTGCCCTGCGTGCCTGCCGCTCACGCTCCAGTTCCTCCAACTGCCGCTCCAGCTCTGCTCGGCAGTGCTGTAGCCGCCGCAGCTCCACACGCAGCTTGTCAATCTGCCGCAGCTCGGCATCAATGCTGTCTGTGAAGGCAGTCACCTCAGCTCTTAAGTCTGGCTCATCTTCATACTGTACCACCTCCTGGCGTACAACCCTTTCTTTGCCCTGTGCCAGCTCTTCCTCTTTGCGTCGGATCTTCCCTTCCTGGGATGCCCGTTCCCCTTCTAGGTCCACCTGTTTCTTCTGTTCTTCCAACAGCTTTATGCGCAGAGACTCTACCTCCTTCTTGGTTTGGGGGTCTTCTTGGAACTGCAGGATCTCCTGGACTACTTCTCTAGTCTGCACCTGTGGCTTGGTGTCCTTCAGGGCCTGGATCTCCTGCTTCAACTGGTAGATCTCCAGGTCACACCTTTCTATTAGCCTGGTCTTGTCCATGATCTCTTCCCTTAGCCGCTGGAGCTCCTGCTCGGTCTCTGGGTCCGTCGTGTATTTAATGACCTCTTTGGTCACTTCTTTGACTTCCACCTGTGGTCCACGCTTCCGTAAGGCCTCTAGCTCACTCTGGTAGCTCTTCAGCTGCTCCTCAGCACCCCTGAATTTGCGCTCCTGCTCTACCAGCTCCAGGCGGAGGTTGGCCACTTCACTTTCTGCCTTGGGGTCTGGCCGCACGATCTCCCGGACCTTCTCCTGTACCACCACTTTGGCATTCTCCTCTTCCAGTGCCCATATCTTTCTAAGAAGCTCTGTCTTCTCCCGCTGGCCAGTACGTGCCTTGGCAGCCTCATCCTCATATTGGCGGGTGAGGTCATTGACCTCCCTCTCTGTGGCCGCATCTTTCTCTACCTTGAGCACCTCCTTGACGGTGATCTTGCCTTCTGCCATGGCCCGTTCTTTCTCCAGTCTCCTAAGCTTAGCCTGCAGGAAACTCAGCTCCTCTTCCTGCTTCTCCCTGAGTGTACCCTCCTGCTCGTACTGCTCCTGCAGCCTCCGGTATTCTGCTTCCAGCTGAGGGTCATTCTGCAGCTTTACCACCTCCCTCTCAGTGACCTTCTCCTGCACCCTGCTCTTCTCAGCAGTCAGGGCTGCCACGCGCTGCTGTAGAAGGAGCACCTCTGCCTCACGGGCACCTTTCTGCCGTCGCAGTGCCTCCAGCTCCTCCCGAAGCTGCAGTACCTCATCCTCCTGGGCTCTGTCTGGCTCAATGCGCAAGACCTCCTTGACCACATATTCTTGTCCCCCGTCCCTGGTCTCCTGCTCTAGGGACTTCAGCCGGAGCTGTAGTGCTCCCAGCTCCTCCTGCAACAGCTGGTTCTTGTGTTGTTCATCAGCCAGGGTCTGCTGCAGCTGCTGGAAGCTCTCTTCCAGGGTGGGGTCTGGCACCTTCTTTAGCACCTCCTTCCTCACCAGTGACTCCTGAGGCCCCTGATCCTTCAGACTCTGAATTTCCTTCTGGGCACTCTTGACCTCATTTTCCAGCTGCTGCCTTCGCTCCATCTCCTCCTCCAATTCCTTCTTAATCTTCCATGTTTCCTCTGTGCTGGAGCCCAGCTTGCCCCCTTGCAGGGTCTCATGGGTCACTCCTGCTTCTGGCTGCTATGGCAGAAAAGGCAATGAAAATATGGTTAGAAACAGGCAGGTCTGTTCACCTAGAACAGGTTGGGCTAATCCTGTGATCTTCTGTTGATTCTACAAGTGTAACATTTACTCTTAAAAATTGATGGGCTGGAGAGATGGCTCAGAGGTTAAGAGCACTGGCTGCTCTTCAAGAGGTCCTGAGTTCAATTCCCAGCAACCACATGGTGGCTCACAACCATCTGTACTGAAATCTCATGCCCTCCTCTGGCGTGCGGGCATACATCGAGGGAGAATGTTGTATACATAATAAATAAATCTTTTTTTAAAAAAAAGAATAGTAAGTGCTGTTAGCTGCCATGCCATCTTTCCAGCTCCATATAAATAATAAATAAAACAAATAAAATAATAAATAAAAAGTAAAACAAGACAAAAACAAAGAACTATGAAAAACAAATGTTTAGGGCTGGTAGATTGCTCAGCAGGTAAAGGTGCTTGCCACCAAGCTTTCCAACCTTAGTTTAATTGCTGGAGCCCACATGGTGCAAGTAGAGATTGACCAACCATGAGGCTTCCCATAAATAAAGTAATTAAAAAACTATAGTTAAAAAATATTAGCCAAATGTGTTAAGTCATAGTTGTACTCTAGTACCTAGCAGCTATAGGCAGGAGGGTTTGCCTATAGCTGCTGTTGTAGAACTTCGGAATCAGTGAACTCCAGAGTTTGTTTGTTTGTTTGTTTGTTTTTGATTTTTCGAGACAGGGTTTCTCCGTAGCTTTTTGGTTCCTGTCCTGGAACTAGCTCTTCTAGACCAGGCTGGCCTCGAACTCACAGAGATNAAAAAAAAAAAAAAAAAAAAAAAAAAAAAAAAATTGAATAGGGCAAAATTTTGCAGGCACAGAGGAGTTTGAATTGACCCCCGTCTCCCACCTCTGCCCTGTCCCTAGGGGATGCCTATTGTCCTTGGAGACATCTTCAATGTATATTTTTAGTGAGCTCTATGTTTACTTTTCCTTTTTTTAAAAAAAAGATTTCTTTATTAATTATGTATAGTGTTCTGCTTGTGTGTATGCCTGCAGGCCAGAAGAGGGCATCAGATCTCATTACAGATGATTGTGAGTCATGTGGTTGCTGGGAATCAAACTCAGGACCTTTGGAAGAGGTCTTAACCACTGAGCCATCTCTCCAGCCCCACGCTTACTTTTTCTATACAAACAGTAGTCTGTTCTGCCGGGAGGGGCAGAGCACCATCTTGACTCAAGGTGCCACATCACTGTTTAACAGTTTAAACCAGCACACTGCCGAGGAGTGTCGAATTACTTCTAGTTTCTTGATGTCAGGTAATCCTATCATAAATGTCATCGAGTCCTAAAAGGTAACTTTTGGAGCTAGAAGGATCAAGTCCTTGGAAGGACTTGAGTTCTGTCCCCAGCACTGATAAGAAAATGTTGAGTGTGGTGCTCTAAGTGTGGGTGCACTTGTAATCCCAGTTCCGGGGAGGTGGAGACTGGAAGCTCCCTGGGACTTGCTGGCCGGCTAGCCTGGCCTAATTGATAAGTTCCAAGCTGATAGGAAACCTTGTCTCACAGGAGGGAGATGGCATTTCTCAGGATGACACTTCAGTTGTCCTTTGCCCTCCACACACAAGAGCATGTACATGCACCTGTACATGTGTGAATCTACATAAACATAACTATGCCGTTAAAAATAACTGCGGGCTAGAGTTCTTAACAGAGGACCCTGGTTCAATTCTCAGCACTCACGTGGTGGCTCACAACCATCTGAAACTCCAGTTCTCGGGGATGCAATGTCTTCTGACCTCCTTGAGTACCAGGCACACACGTGGTACACATACATACATGCAGGCAAAACACTCATAAAAAATCAAACAAAGAAACCTTTGCTAGGTCCTCAGGAAATGTCTTCTGAATTGGTATGGAAGTTACCCAA